CTTTCGCAACGAAACACACAGCGTCTTCACAACATGGCGGCGGCGGTGGCAGCAACAATAAAGTTACTCTTTCTTTGCCTAAATATTTGGGCGGCGTTATGCAATCTTCCCACACAGTGACGTAGACATGTGGGGGCGTGTTTAAACGAGGCTATTGATTGAATATAATAAATGTTTTTTTTTTCGTTTTGTTGCAAAATGTCACCTACATGAATAATTTCCTATTTCTGACCTCAAAGAAGGCATCCACATGCTGCTTTGGTACATCCCCCTTTAAAGCCGGATACGTGTGCTTCCCCATCATGTCATAGATGGCTCTCACTATCTCTGTCATTTCCTGTGAGGTACATGAAGACTGAGTGGGTTATTGAATTAAGCTGATGTTAATAATGACTGCCTATTTACATATGATATACCTCCTTATTGATAAATCCATCTTTGTTAATGTCATAGAGATGAAATGTCCATTCCAGTTTGTCTCTGACCGTCCCCCGCAGTAGAGTAGATAGTCCCATCACAAAGTCCTGAGAGAAAGACAGGAAAGACATCCTGTATGTAATGTCACTAAAATATATATTTTCATGCTGTGCCAGGAGTCCACATTTTCTTCATACCTCAAACTTTATGGATCCATTATTTCTGGTGTCAAACGCATTGAAGAGATAATGTGCATATGTGCTGGGATCTGGTACAGCAGTGAAAACAGATGAAAACAGACACTTTGATTATCTAAAATTTATCATAAAAAGCATGTAATATTTAAGGATTTCTCATTTTTTTTAGTACCTCCATGTGGAAAAAACTGTGCATAAATATGTTTAAATGTCTCCTCATTCACTACTCCACTTGGACACTCCTGAGGGAAAAAAACATATTAACATTATATTATAAACATAGAAAGGAAAACTTGAAATCGCATCATATGACCCCTTTAAATACACCAGTATGTGGCTTTTTCCACATTAAAAAAAGAATAAAATTTGGAATGTAAATATCACGTGTAAAATTACACTTCTACCTGACAGATGTCACTGAAACAAACAATCAGGCTCTGTAAACAGTAAAAAGGCTCTGAGAGTAACTGGTTTTGAGCCATTATTACTTTGCATGTTTAAGATTTCTGGCATGTCTTTAGGGGGTGGGGTTTGGAGAAAGGAGCATGGCAAATTCACCAAAAGTCTAAGGCAGATGTAAATAAAATATACAACGATATAAACATACCTCCTGACAGGCAAGCACAAACTCCTCCAATGTTACAACTCCATCTTTGTTTTTGTCCATTTTCTGTAGGGGAGAGAAAATTGATTTGGATTGCTCTGACATTGTTTTGCTGTAAAAATCATGCATGGGGAATTGTTATGGATAAGTAACTATTCATGTTTTATCCCAAAATCAAAAGAAATGGATAAATCAACAAGAAAATGAAGTTATTTTGAGCCACATAATTTGATGAGAATCACCATTGA